ATTACATGTTTTTTAGCAAAGAATTTATGCAGTTGTGATTTACCTTGAGTTCATGAATGTTAGATCAGGTCAGCTACTATTACTTGTGCAAAACATCACAAGGGCTTAGTGCTGTATCACAATACTTTTATTATTTTGCTCCCATTTAAGCATTCCCATGCATCTGCGTCTATTTTAACAGGAAGACATACAAGCAGAGTTAGTGTCTGATAAACTAAAAGTCACAGTTGTCAAAAAGATTCTTAATATTTATGCACAGCCAGCTACATTTAATTGAGACATAGAACACTCATCTTCTAAGACTGTATACTGCTGTTTTGCGGGCAACTAAAAGCTCAGACGCTTAGCTATTCTGCTACCGATGTTATTGCTGGGGAGATTGTTTAATAACAGTGATCTTGAAATATGGTCAGTGATAGATGTACATACTAGAAATAAACACCGAACATACTTAAAGCTATCTTATAATGTATGACAGCAACAGTACCAAAGGCATTATTTTTCCTATTTTTAATCAGACTGATTTCAATCAGTATACTCATTAGAAACAGGCCACTCTACTTACTAAACTGATCTGTTTCGTTACAGGCTTCAAGCACTATATCATAATATAATATACCATGGATAACAGTGATATGGTATACCATGATTCTTCCGACTAAACGGAACTATACGACAACCAAGAATACTAAACCAAGCAAATGTCATAATTATTGTTTCAATTGCACAAACATGTTGCTCAAAGTAGTTAAATGGACATAATTAAGCCGATAAAACCAAAACACGAAATATAGGCCAGTCGAACATACCTAACATAAGATAAAGGATATATGTATATTGCTTTCAGGCTGAAGACGTCAGTCAGTTGTTAATAAAAACATAGTTTACAGTACAACAAACCTTTCTTCAGTAACATCATGCACTGACGGTCTATCTGGAAACAACAAACTATGTGATTAAACTAACTATGACTTGAGATATCATCTCAGCGTGCAATGAACGTACAGTGTAACGCAGCCAGACGTGGCGAATAAAAGTTCAAAACAGAGCAAAATTAACAACATAATCTGGTTATTTAACTAAAAATACAATATGAAATGACAAAATCTGTGGTTACTTGAACGCACAGATGATTGTTATTACACTGGACGATACATTAATCTTACATGGTTGCGTTGCGGATAAATTCACCCCACTGGGATGCTACCTATTCTCTTAGTCCTTTGGCTTTTGTACGAATACAGGTGTTTAATGTATCCTATGACCTCTAACAAGTTTTATATCATGTAATCCTCATGGCGTGTATAGAGGTTTTGTCTCATCAGCACCTAAGAACTTAAACTACTCCGACATATATTTTCTCTTACAGAGAAGGATGAAAGCGCCATACTGACCCGTGTTGGTGGGTCTTTTATAATTTTTGGATGCATTCAAAAGAATGTGTGGTCCTGTCATTCTTATGTGCATATTTATGCATATCTCCTCAGCCATTTCAATGGAAGATTCTGTTGTGAAATCTGCTGAGGATGTAAATCTATCTCCGATTGTTTGATGACTAAGCTGCAGGTGCTTGTGTAAAAGATCCGCAGAACATTTAAATGGCTTCACACTGCACCTGAAGTGGCTTCGGCGTCGCTTCAAGTCCTTCTCGTCAGCATCTAACCTTAGTATTTGCTCTCGATCAGCTTCTCTTCTTTTAACAGAGTCCACCAGCGGCATACTTTGCAGACTAAAAGTGCCGGTCCCTTTAGTTTGTGTTCATTCTGTAGCATTAAGGCCCTTTCATTGGAGGATGTAAGTACCACATTTGGCAGCCTAGTTTGATACTCTTGTAAGTCCGTTTACCTATTTAACCTATAAACCTTCAGTAACGTTGCCACAGTAATGTCACAAGGCATCAGCTGGTTAAGTAGATCCTTTATCAAACTAACGTCATACTCAAAGCAATTTTAAACCCAGAGCTTTCACTCATCCTGGGTCGGTGAAATATAACTGACTTATCAATAAGCTTAGCCTTTGATTTCTCAGATACTGTACGGGAGTCTAGCTTTAAATAAACGACATCATGTTGTTTATTGTTATTGATTTGTATCCAATCATTCGTTTTCACTGGAGTAGCCATCACAGCTCCTCCTATTGTAAACGGATTTAGCCTTACGACTTGGTTTTATAGGCGTTTCCTTACCGCTGCTTGTTGAAAGACAGGGCACCGAAGAAACCTAATTTTTGGCCGACCACACTGAAATCGATCTCTCCTGCCTTGAATGAAAGCTTTTAATACACGAAAAATCACATCGTAACACAAATATATCTTTTGAAAAAACTAAGTTCAGTATTTCCATGCTTAAGGCTCTTAGCACCCTAAACATGGAAAAGTCAACAGGACCAGATGAACTACACCCTCAAATATTGAGACATATTGCACAATATATCGCGGCCCCACTGACTGTGATATCCAACATGTCACTTGATCAAGAAGTACTACCTATGGACTGGAAGGACGCAATCGTCAATCTCATACACAAAACAGGTCCACTACAAGTTCCATCGAATTACAAACCTATAAGCCTCACCAGTGTTGTGGTTAAAATGGTGGAAAGAATAGTCAAACGGACCATAATGGCGTTTATGGAAACCAATAACTTGCTAAACATGGAACAACATGGTTTTAGAAAGGGTCTATCTTGTACAACAAACCTCTTTATATCAAGGGAGTTCTGGATAAACGCGCTAGACAACGGAAACTCAGTGGATGTTGTCTACATAGATTTCAGTAGAGCTTTTGACAAGGTGCCAAATAATAGACTACTACTGAAGTTGAAAAACCTTGGTATTGCCGGACCTCTTTTAAAATGGATTAAGGATTCCATAGTAGGTCGTAGACAGAAAGTAAGAATAAATTTTAAGTGCTCCATCTGGAGGCCAGTACTTAGTGGAGTACCCCAAGGTTCCGTCCTAGGCCCTTTACTTTTTATAATGTACGTTAATGATCTTACAAGTATAGTACAGTCTCCAATGTCATTATACGCTGACGATGTAAAAATTTGGCGAGTAATAATTGGAGACACAGACGCATGTGCTCTTCAGGCAGACTTAAATAATATGATTAACTGGTCTAAAGAGTGGATGATGCCTATCAACGCGGAAAAGTGTGTCTACATGCACTTGGAGGATTCAAAGGTTAATAGGCACAGCATAAGAGAAGTTCCATTATCCGTGGTCCGGTCTCATAAGGATCTACGTGTGACAGTGAGTCATGATTTTAAGACGACGGCCCATTGCCGTGAGGTCGTAGCGAAGGGGTTTCGAACCCTCTGGGCTTTAAAACGAACATTCACTAAGTTAGATACCACCATGTTCACCACAGTATACACATTCTTAGTGAGAAATAAGCTAGAGAACTGCGCTCAGGCTGCAAGCCCCTGTTTAAAGGGTGACTCGGATATACTAGAAAAAGTACAGAGGGCAGCTACTCGTGCAATTCCGGAACTCCGGGGTTTATCATACAAAGAGCGGCTTGAAAAACTGGACCTCTTTACTCTGTCCTATCGCAGACTAAGGGGAGATCTAATTTTGATGTACAGAATACTGAGAAATGGTTTGGGACCTAACTTATTCTCTCTTTTTCTTCACACTAGATCGGGACATCTCAGAGGACATAGCAGGCGAGTAGAAAAGCCAAGAACGAACAAAATACCCACGGCATACAGGTTTTCATACCGAGTCATCAATACTTGGAACCTGCTGCCTGAAGCAGTGGTGTCCACATCTTCAATTGACTCTTTCAAGAGAAGACTGGACACTCACAGAAGCATACTAGAAAATGAATAACACAGGCCGTAGGGCTTCTGTCCGTACTACACAAATCTGATTCTGAATCTGAAAACGATACCTGTAGTTTGAGGTTTGAATACGTGTCCTTGTGTCCAATTTTGAAAGTGTTCTTCCCCACGTTCTGTAAGCCCTGGAATTTAGTGGATATTTTATACACATTTTCACTCCACATTTATGTTCACTAACAACTGTTCTCACGTAGCCACACACTATTAGACAGAAAAGACAGTTAGTGAGCAGTTGCTTACTAGTTCCTAAAGGTTATCCAGATAACCGGTGTTCGGAGATTAGATTGAGAATACCTATATTTCCTTAATCTGTATTGTGCTTATTAACGGTTTTCGTTTTTCTCCACAAATTCCTTCCTGGCAGTTTGGTAGACCTCAGATTTGTGTAGATTACAGGAAGTTTTGCGACCCTTCAATTACAGGTTGGATTTTCTCCACGTTTAAAGACTAATCATAAAATGGCATACGTTTAAAAAGATTAGTGGGATATTGACGTATTTCTAAAAGATATTGCGTAGTGGTGTGCAAGTTAGCTCACTGTTTCAGTAGTACAGGACTGATATTGTGAGCACCTAATGTTGTATCTAGTCGCAAGGACTTCAGTCTTCATTATACTGTTCCAGGATCTGAGTGGTTTTTGCTTATATGATCATGTGATCATCTGTTGCCTTTGTATATATTCAGTAGTGCTATTCGAGGAGTTAGGTGTTATTGTAGCGTGCTTCATTTGAATGTCTGCTTGGCGTTATTGTGTAGGAAAGTAGTCAATAAAGACCTGTCATTTCTAAGAAGTTGAGGAATTCGTTGCTCGTCTCGAGAGGGATTATTATACTATGTTCCTTGGTTTCGCCTAAATATTGAACTCACTACTGCATGCGTTTCTGGTAATGATTGTTGGATAAATGGGTTTCGGAGGTCCAGTTTTATCGTTTCCCATAATATCTTCAATAACCCTGGTTGGTATTGCAATAGATGACGACGCAATATGAAAGGAGGACGATAGTCCATCAAGACTTGATTACCTACTGCGAATGACTAGCTTCTAGTTGAGAACGTCCATGTCAAAACACTCAGTGAATATCGATCACACCACGATAATATTAAATGTAATCACAAGCCAGATGCTTCATACGCCCAAGAATCCTCTATGCCTTCACTAGAACGAGACGAACCAAGCGACTGTTTAGGAGTATCCCCATCACGCTCTGTGACCAACTGCGTAATGGGACTTAACTAGAATGTATAACCTAGTGAGTAAAACACGCAACCGAAAAAGGGTTCTTCCTAAAACCCGTCATTACAACGCATGAAGTAATCCTCGACAAGTTACACACCAAAGAACAAATACGCAACAACGGGTTTGTCCTATCTGAAACACTCAACATACGTGTCCATACCCCACTTAGTCAGTTCTAATAGGAAAATCAACAACCATGTAAGTACTCATGGTCTGCCATCCTTTGCATGAAATAGTAACCAGATCGTACACTAACGGATTAATTCGTTTTCACTTTCATTTGCATTACCTTTCCATACCTCGTGATCCACCCGTGATTGTCTGTTAGCATTAGACTTCGAAGATACGCCTCGAAAAATGTATAAATTAGCGAGATAAAAACGGAAAATTTATAAGGGATTTTGAATCTATGGATTTGTGGAAAGACGAAGAATGGATGCACCTGCTCCATTTTAAGCGATTTTGACCCATGTCATTCAATTCTAACCATTATTTGCGATAATCATATGGACCTTAATCAGGTAGTCTGTACCTATTAAAATGGTTTCCAATTGTCATTCACTTCAGTTAATTAGTTTGCAATTCGATGTAAACATCACACATTTAAGCTCATGGCTATTCCGAATAAAAATGTTTACATCACCCTACTACACAAACCGGAGTTAAATTTCAAAATAAGGGCTCAGAACAGTTCTCAGTAGCATATATAAATATCATAATTAAACTTATCATTGTTGAAACGGAAATGTCCGCAAATAGCTGCTTTTTCCTCACTAAAAATTCGTTGTTTGATGTTGACTGATAATTTTTTACTCATGACAAGTAATCATTTATTTGAAACATGGAACGCTGATTGGTGGTGACTTTAAAACTCACCTGGTACATATCTATGTAAAAAATCCTCGTTTTATTTATGAACCAGATGTTTTAGGAAGTTTATGTGGTAAGACTACCGAGTGACGTTTTATTTAATGCTAATAACTTATATTACCATCATGCCCCAAAATACCCTGGTACGGCCGAGAGTGGGGAGTCCGCTCTCCCTCACGAAATACTCTCACACGGCCACGCGTACACAGCCTCTGCTAGGGAAGTCCCACTCATTGCCTACTCACGGCGGGGGTGTTGTTTACGAAAATGAGAGAACGAAAAGCGAATGTCCGGCGCTTCAACCGGATCCCAAACCAATGGTGCACATGGGCTCTTATTTATTTATTTGGACACATGAATATTGGTACAAGAGAGCGCCAATATATATGCGCCACACAAAACAATGAAAATTCGAGAGGAATACAAAGAAAAAAAAGGTAAGGAGCGCAACAAAAAAACAATAACGGAGAGATTGGTGTAAGGTAATGTGCTAGTAATCAGGGAACGCAAAGGTACAATCAGAAGAAATCTTTCAGTTAAGGAAGACACAAACACTTTTTATGAAGAAAGTAAAAGAAGGTTACAGCAGGATCGCCACTGGCTTCTATTCTGAGCCATATCTGATAACGTCTCTAGCCACTGTGTGGCACCATCTCTCAGACCCCAACCAGGGAGTCGTGAAGGACCAACACAAGCCAGTCCTTCGCAGCTTTCTTTCATGCCACGACACCATGTCATGCACTGACCACATCTCCGCTTCTTCCAACCAGTCCCAGAGTCGGCAAATAATGCACGACGTGGAATCCTCTGGGACGACATTCGGGGAACATGTCCAAGCCACCGAAGTCGGTGTTTCAAGATGGTGACACCAATTGAATTATCATCTCTGTGCCCGAACACACGATGCCGAACCTCTGCATTACTGACATGGTGTTGCCACTGAATGTCAGCAATCCTTCGGAGACAACGATGATGGAACACAGAGAGTCGTCTAACGTCCTCAACTCGGAGAGGCCAGGTTTCACAAGCATAGAGCAAAATGCTCTCACCGACGCGTTGTAGATCCGACCTTTTACAACCAGACTAACATCACGAAGGCGCCAAAGATGGCCCAGATTGGCATAAGCCGCTCTGGCTTTCACTATACGTGCATTGATCTCATCACTCACACCCCCACCAGCACTTATGCAGCTACCCAGATACACGAACTTCTCGACTACGTCTATCTGCTCACATGGGCTCTAGTATCCTGCGGGAACAAGTAGCGTATGAACCAATCGTTGGTCACCGGCTGCCATGGGAATGCATCTCCTCACGATGCTCCACTGCCTTGTGGACCAGACCTTTGGGCCGAAGGCTCGAGGTGCGGCCCCTTAAGAAAACCACCTGTTTCGGTTTGGGCACTCGGGCAGCATCACAGCCCACACACAAATAAAATGAAAGTGATGATATTTACTGAAAATTCTATTCTCACTTCGATTCACAGTCAAACAATTCACATTATTATTATTAATATTTGCTACGTCATTTACTCACTCTTTTATTCCCACCTTATGTATCCTTATTTTTCGACTTATACAGCAGCTCGCCTGTGGTGGAAACTCAGTTCTATCTAACCGTTCTCGAGTTACTGTCCGGTTGAAAATTGTATGCTACCACCAAATATGAGTACTCAAGCAGTTTTTCTGAAAATACGTGCATCATTCAAATTGGCTGCCTTCAACGTTCGCACACTTATGCAGGTCGGACAACAGATAGGGCTGGCTATGTCTTAATATCGACGTTTGTTGTCTATCCAAGATCCGTATTCAAGACTATGGTGAAGTACTAAAAATTCGCTCTTCATCTGTCGCTTCGAAAAGCTTGTTTTGCGTGTGTTTATCCGGAAACCCTGTGGCATCTTCGTCTAGTCTTCCTGGCGTTGGTGTCGCACTAAGCGCTAGAGCTGAGGCACCACTAACCGATTGGATCCCCATTAACAGTCGGTTATGTGCTGTTAGATTAGAAAGTTCCATCGAAGTGGGAAGAAATTGGTGTGAGAAACTATGTCTTTTCGTCATCTCCGCCTATGCCCCGACAGATTTCAGCTCAGATGCAATCAAGGATGAGTTTTACCACCAGTTAACTGTTCTTCTCCAGAAAGTGCGTCCGACAGATATTGTAGTACTAGCCGGAGACTTGAATGCTCAGGTCGGGCATCTAGGCACAGAAGAGAGTCGTTTAGGTGGGCGATGGGGACTCGTTGGTCGCAGGACAAATAACGTGGACCGTCTACTGCAACTGTGCACAGACCACAACCTGTTTCTGGCTAGCACTAACTTTCGGCACAGTCATCGCCGATGTGCCACCTGGCGTCCTCCCTCTGCATCTCAAGCCTGGACTCAGATTGATCGCATCGTGATCAGCTACCGCTGGCGTGGTTGTGTACAAGACTGCCGCTCCTTTTGGAGTACCTATCTAGACTCGGATCATGCCCTAGTCTGCGCCAATTTTACCTCACTTTTCAGTGGACAACGAAGTGACCGCCACCAACGGATTGATGTTAACAATCTGGTTGCAACTTCTGTTGCTAGCAAGTATCGAACCGAGCTAGTTTCTAGGCTAGCTACCATTCCACCGAAAAGTATAGATGAGCATTGGTTGCAATTGCATGATGCCATGAAAATGGCGAGTACAGTCAGTTGTGGGTTTGCGAAACGTCCCGCTTATAAGCACTGGGTTTCATTTGGTTCCTTACAACTCATTGAAGCCCGTCGGTCTACTCCGGCTGACCGTGAGTTTGACCACAAACGAAGGATGTTACGTAAGTAAATTGGGCAAAGCTTGCCTAAGGACCGAGAAGCCTGGTGGTCGGAGCGTGCTAATGAGTTGGAAGCAGCAGCTGCATCTGGTAACTACCGAGAGCTCTTCCAACTCATCCGAGCCACTGGCAGCAAGAAGTCTGGTGTGAGCGAAACCATCTGTGAGAATGACGGGATGCTAATCACATTCTGGAAGCAGCTCTGATGGATGTAAGTAATGGCGGTGTGGATCTGTCGCCTGGGGAAAGACTTCTCGACCTTGAGTATGCGGATGATATTGTCTTACTGTGCGGTAATGTCCAAGCCATGCAATCCGCATTTAATCAGTTTGCAATCAATGTCCGTAGGTATGGTATGTGCTTTGCACCTTCGAAGTGCAAAGTACTTCTACAAGACTGGCAGGATTCCGATCCTGTACTCACCCTGCATGGTGAGCAGATAGACGTAGTCGAGAAGTTCGTGTATCTGGGTAGCTGCATAAGTGCTGGTGGGGGCGTGAGTGATGAGATCGATTCACATATAGTGAAAGCCAGAGCAGCTTATGCCAATCTGGACCATCTTTAGGGCCTTCGAGTTGAGGATGTTAGACGACTCTCTGTGTTCGATCATCGCTGTCTCCGAAGGATTGCTGACATCCAGTGGCAACACCATGTCAGTAATGCAGAGGTTTAGCATCGTGTGTTCGGGCGCAGGGACGATAATGCAGTTGGTGTCACCATCTTGAAACACCGACTTCGGTGACTTGGACGTGTTCTACAAATGTCGTCCCAGAGAATTCCACGTAGTGCATTATTTGCCGACTCTGGGACTGGTTGGAAAAAGCGGAGAGGTGGTTGGTGTATGACATAGTGTCGGTCCTCCACGACTCCCTGGTTGGGGTCCGAGAGATGGTGCTACACAGTGGCTAGAGACGTTATCAGATATGGCTCAGAATAGAAGCCAGTGGCGATCTCGCTGTAACCTTCTTTTTTTTTCTTCATAAAAAGTGGTTCTGTCTTCCTTAACTGAAAGATTTCTTCTGGGTGTACCTTCCAGTTTCCCCCATTATGATTATTATTATTATTATTATTGTTATTATTATTATTATTTGTAGTAGTAGTAGTAGTAGTAGTATTAGTAGTAGTAGTAGTACTAGTAGTAGTAGTAGTAGTAGTATTAGTAGTAGTAGTAGTATTAGTAGCAGTAGTACCATTATTAGTATTAGTCTTAGTCTTAGTATTATTATTACATTACCTCACACTAATCTGATGGTCATTGTTCTTTTTTTCTTCTGCGCTCCTTACCTTCGTTTTTCCTTTCTTGCCATTCTCATTGTTTCGTGTGGCGCATATATATTTAGCGACCTCTTGGTCCAATATTTATGTGTTCATATAAATAAAATAAAATACATTTTGCGGTCGCTTTAACAATTAGAGGATCTAATCTTGCTTCTCAGTCTCTTTCTTTAAGGTTTCATACCACCGTAAAATTTAACTTTTTTCCGTCTTGTGTTTTTTTTCTTAGATTGTCCTATGTTTATAGTTTTCTTTCGGCTGTGTTTTGTAAACTGTGTATATCCATCCAGAAAACAATAAGTGATTGAATACTTACAAAATTTGAATAAATTAAATTTTCTGATCATGCCAATTCGTAAAGAAACTACACGTCATCATCTTAGAGATATAATACACAAGGAAAGGATTCAAAAAGCAAAAGAACGTAGAATCAAACGGAAACAACGAAAAGAAAGTGGTGCACCGGCAGGAATTCCTCAAACTCTTGAATCACTTAGAACAGTTGATGAAACAATCGTTCCTAAAGATGATGAAGAAGTTGTCATTGAACATGAAACAGTATGTTGTATAAAATAAATTCTTAAATTTCTCTAATCTAGGATGAGTTTTCATCTATTTTTAGTGGAGAAATTACTCCTAAAATTTTGTTGACTCATTCTGATCGTGTTTGTCCTAGGACAATCGGATTTTGTAAAGAACTAAGTATGGTAAGTATTGCTTTACATTGTGAAATTTTTTCACTTAAGTTTCAAACTTTATTAATTTCCAACATTTTAAGAGGGTAAGAGTAAATAAAACTACTTTTGTTCTTGCATTTTTGTCCATCATCTAGAAGACGTATGTGCATTCATGAGTAACCCAAATTTAGTGATTTATATTTCTGAAGTTCAGTTTAAAACTGTGTAAATTTATTGATTTTAACAACTTATAATTTATTTATTTATTATTTATCTTAACACATAGATATTGGTACAAGGAGGCACCAAATACATATACGCCACACAAATCTCATTTGATATGTGTGAGGGCTGTGATACTGCCCGGGTGCCAAAACCGAAGCAGGTGGTTTTCTTAAGGGGCCGCACCTCGAGCCTTCGGCCCAAAGGTCTGATCCACAAGGCAGTGGAGCATCGTGAGAAGATGCAGTCTCATGGCAGCCGGTGACCAACGATTAGTTCATACGCCATTTGTCTACTCAGGATACTAGCGCCCATGTGCATCATTGGTTTGGAATCAGGGTTTTCCAACCCCCCTAGGTGGACCCTTCATGTCCACCAACCCGGTTAAAGCGCCGGACTTTCGCTTTCCATCCTCTCAATTTCGTAAACAACACCCCCGCCACGAGAAGACAGTGAGTAGGACTTACCTGGCAGAGGCTATATACGCGTGGCTATGTGAGAGCATTTTGAGAGGGAGAGCGAACTCTCCCCACTCTCGGCCGTACCAGGGCATTTGGGGGCAATTAATTTACTAAATAAACTACCAATAAACAATTATCTGCGTAAGATATTGCATGTCTGTTGGCCGGATATCAGCAACAGCCCTTTGTGGGAGAGAACAAACCAGTTTCTAGCTGTAGAGAAAATTATAAATAAACGCTGTAAGCGGATAGGACATACATTACGGAAACCATCAAACTACATCACAAGGCATGCGCTAACTTGGACTCCTGAAGGGAAACGAAAAAGAGGAAGGCTAAAGAACACATTGTGCAGTGAGTTGAAAGCAGACATGAAAATAATAAATAGCAGCTGGAAACAATTGGGAATGATTGTCCAGGACAGAGTTGGATGTAGAATGCTGGTGAGTGGCCTTTCTTCCACTTAAGGTAATAGGCATAAGTAAGATTACCGATACACGTTGATTGTAAGCACTAATAGTTACAAAATTTAGTTAAAGGCACATTGTCTCCGAGCCACCTGATATATAGATAGTTTTTTTTCAGAAAATCTATCATTTTATTTTAACTAACATTGTTTCTAATTTCATATATAAATTATCAGGTCATTCCAAATGTTCATCTTGTTGCGCGTTGGCATTTACCTCTTAAAAAAATTATCCCTATGGCTATTGAACGTCAGTTCACTTGTTTAATAATTGTTAATGAAGATCAGAAAAAAATTAATACTCTAATAGTTAGTCACTTACCAAACGGGCCAACAGCTACATTTCGCCTAACTAATGTGTTACTTCGTCGTGAAATGCGTTCAGCTAAAAAAGTCAAATATATTGAATCGAATATAATACCACATTTGATTACTACACGTTTTATGACACGTCTTGGTCTACGTACTGAACGTATTTTAAGTTCATTATTTCCTAATGAAAGTCGTTTACCGCCGCAACCACATAGTAGAACAATCGTTTTTCATAATCAAAGAGATTATATCTTTTTTCGACATTATCGTTATATACATCGTGATACAACTGATGTTCATAACGATGATGATAATGAAAATGAACGCAAACATAATACTGAACATATCGCAATGAATGAAGTTGGACCAAAATTCACATTGAAATTACGTTCAATTCAATTAGGTACTTTTGATAGTCAATATGGTAATTATGAATGGGTTCGTAAACGAACAGAAATTGGTAGAAGTCGGCGAACATTTATCTTATAGTTGATAAATAGTATTTCTCTATTGTAAATATAATTATTTATTAATTCAATAACATGTTTGTTTATTTATTTCATAAAAATAACCTATTTAGTCTGCAAATAGATTATATGAGAAGTTAAAAATGTGTATTAATTAGTGTTCGGTTTTAAATATAACTTTAAAAAACTATCCATTTCTAAATCCCAACTACCACCCCTTATCAACTAGTAATAATAATGACCTATAATTCAAACCAGATATGAAAAATTATTTAACAAATGCGCTATAGACTCAACTGCCTGGTTACAAATGCTTCGTTTTTTTATTGAAATCATGGTCCGATTTAAGTTAGACCACCATTGAAAACGTAAAAACACTGGATGACCGTTTACGTCTCGTCTTTAACAATATTACTAACACTTTACAAATAAGTTGTAATAAAACGTGCCTGGTGTATTTATTAAAACTCAAAGACACTATTCAATGCCGATTTTAGCAGTATTGATTTTAATCTACCAGATTAGAGTAGAAGTTCTGATATATGTACGCAGAGCTCCAAGCATGTAATGAACGAGAACACAGGCTGGGGACAAACAATAATATTTCAATACAAAATTGCAGAATATCTCGATAAAATATAATAACGATACATACATATCCCATCAATTGTCTCAAACTTCATTGCCACAACAGTTACTCTATTCCCGTTCTCTTCGATCTTCTCAACCTTCTGATGCTAGGTATTCTACTTCTGAGGTGTGTTATACATTACTTATGTCGACGTAAGAAGCATATCGAAATATTGTATTTTATGGTAACGGGTCCATTTGATGTCTTAGTTTATTTTTCAGAAATAAGGTCAAGCTATCTTATCACGTGAAAAGTGACTTTTAGAATAAGTCGTCATCATTTTAGTAACTGCAATAGCAACAATACCTAGTGAGTTCTACTGAAGAGCGAAACTACTAGCTAGACGAAATAGCAATCGATCCCAGTCCGTTGATGAAAAATTTAGTTGTCCGTTTCCTAATATCAGACATACAGACGTTCCCGTTTCACTCCATTCAAGTAAATAGATGTCACGCTCCAAGACTCGATATCGAACTTCGACAAAATCTTAAGGATATCACAACGTTCAAACCGTAATTTGGTGACTCATCCATTTTTCTTTTCATTTTAACGTAACCATGATATTTAGTTAAAACTACCTTGAGTGAATACTTCAGACATCCAACATTACCTGGACTCTATATATTGCTAACAGTAAATATGTCTTACAATATGAAGAACATGTGGTTTGAAGCTTGGTAGTAGTAATCTGGAGTTGTTAATCCTGTAGTGCATATACAGCTGTTTAGGTTTGATGGCAACATCCTGAAGGACATAAATTGATAGTAAACATAATGGATGGATATGCTGACACGTTATCACTATCTACAATTTAGATAATGCTTTTGGAGAATCTATACAAATCTATTATTCTTACTAATTTAGGTACGTGACCAATCCTTTTCTTTATCCTGCACACATTCTTGAATGCAAATCACAACAGATGCACAAATACTTCAACTGTACTATAAAGCTAAACTTAATGAGTACACTCAAACATCACTATCGGAAAAGTATATTATACTGAAGATCATGAACAACTTAACAGGAAAGTGTTTAACTGCAAGACAATTGACGATAAATTTACAAATGTCAAATAATTTCGACGTGATTAATGAACCCTTATATGTTGAATTATTCATTAGAGTAAGGGAAAGAAAATGTCAGGATTACGTTTTACGGGTTGAGTTAGTGTCATGATTTATGTTTGTCACGACCTGACATCAACTATTATTCAATAATACTTTTCCACCGTTTACTATACACACTTATGAGAGTTAGGGTTGAGATTTTAGTTAGCGTGGAAAGAAACCGTTTAGCAACACAAATACTCTTGAATCAGATCAAGCACTCTGAAATCGTCTACTTCTAATCAGGAACATGTTTCCTATAATTCAGTATAAACACAATGTCACACTCATAGTTTGGTTACATTAATTAGCTCAACGCTATCAGTATAATACTCTTTTATTGTACTGTCCATTCTATAAAACTGACCGAACTAGATAACTTAAGAATAAGTAAATGTAATTATTGTTTGTATTTTCGCTGTATAAATATTAAATACTCGGCGTCTATTTTTTGTCAAAATATTCGTTCTACTAATGACAAATATTCGTATAAATACTTGGAACATTGTATTCTTATATTGTCGTTTATACGTTTTTGTTTTGGTTCAAAAACTATTGTTGTAGATATTACATTCTTTAAATTATTGTTCATTAATTAAAGACCTATTAATCAGTTTATTCTTTAACCAATGGTGTTGGTATGGATAAAATCTAATGTTTTATTCATACTGTTGTTTCATTAGGAACCTGTCGTATATATATATATATATATATATATATATATATATATCTGCGTACGAACTTCCTTTTCTGAATAGACACTAGGTTGGAACGAGTTAGATGACCAACAAGTTTTATTTATTATTTGAACACATGAATATTGGTACAAGAGAGCGCCAATATATATGCGCCACACAAAACAATGAGAATTCGAAGAGAAAGAAAAAAAGATAAGGAGCGTGAGAAAAAAAAGGAACAATAACGAAGGGGTTGGTGTAAGGTAGTGTAGTAATAATGAGGGAACGGAAAGGTACAATCAGAAGAAATCTTTCAGTTAAGGGAGACAGAACCACTTTTTATAAAGAAAGTAAAAGAAGGTTACAGCGGGATCGCCACTGGCTTCTATTCTGAGCCATATCTGATAACGTCTCTAGCCACTGTGTAGCACCATCTCTCGGACCCCAACCAGGGAGTCGTGAAGGTCCAACACAAGCCAGTCCTTCGCAGCTTTCTTTCATGCCACGACACCGTGTCATGCACTGACCACCTCTCCGCTTTTTCCAACCAGTCCCAGAGTCGGCAAATAATGCACGACGTGGAATTCTCTGGGACAACATTTGTAGAACACGTCCAAGTCACCGAAGTCGGTGTTTCAAGATGGTGACACCAATTGAATTATCATCTCTGTGCCCGAACACACGATGCCGAACCTCTGCATTACTGACATGGTGTTGCCACTGAATGTCAGCAATCCTTCGGAGACAACGATGATCGAACACAGAGAGTCGTCTAACATCCTCAACTCGGAGAGGCCAGGTTTCACAAGCATAGAGCAAAACTGCTCTCACCGACGCGTTGTAGATGCGACCTTTTACGGCCAGACTAACATCACGAAGGCGCCATAGATGGCCCAGATTGGCATAAGCCGCTCTGGCTTTCACTATACGTGCATTGTTCTCATCACTCACACCCTCACCAGCACTTATGCAGCTACCTAGATACACGAACTCCCCGACTACTTCCACCTGCTCGCCATGCAGGGTGAGTACAGGATCGGAATCCTGCCAGTCTTGTAGAAGTACTTTGCATTTCGAAGGTGCAAAGCACATACCATACCTACGGACATTGATTGCCAACTGATTAAGTGCGGATTGCATGCCTTGGGCATCATCGCACAGTAAGAAAATATCATCCGCATACTCAAGGTCGAGGAGTCTTTCTCCAGGCAACAGATCCACACCACCATTACTTACATTCATCAGAGCTGTTTCCAGAATGTCATCGATGGCAAAGTTGAAGAGGAATGGTGAGATTGGGCGACCCTGTCTAACCCCACTGCTCGAATGGAACAATGGAGAAAGGTAGTTGGATGCCCTCACTCTGCCTGAGGTGTTTTTATATAGGGCTTTTAGGATGTTAATAAACGTCTCAGGCACAGATATGATCAATACATCCTCGATCAGAACTAAACCCACCCTGCTCCTCGCGAGTCAATCTTTCTCGGGTTTTGAACAACCTACGAAGTATGACGGAAGCCAATAGCTTGGACGCAATCGGAAGTAGACTTATCCCTCGATAGTTGTTACAGGAACGACGTGAACCTTTTTTAAAGATAGGGACGACTGTCGACTCGTACCATGACGTTGGTACACTCTCTAGTTCCCAAACCTTTGTAAACAACGTCGTCAATTCCTTAGTCAGAAAGTCACCACCATCTTTAAAAAGAGCCGGAGGTAAGTCATCTGGGCCAGGTGATTTGTAACGCTTCAAGAGTTGGAGTTCCTTGCGGACTTCCGCCTCGTTTGGTGGATCAGTCGTCACCGGCCATGGAGGGCAGGACAGTCTGACCGATGTTGCCGGAGCAGCAGGCCAGTTGAACTGCCCTTCGAAAAATTCTGCCCATCGTCCAAGACGTCGATGGATGTTAGTGATTGGCATCCCGTCATTCTCACAGATGGTTTCGCTCACACCAGACTTCTTGCTGCCAGTGGCTCGGATGAGTTGGAAGAGCTCTCGGTAGTTACCAGATGCAGCTGCTGCTTCCAACTCATTAGCACGCTCCGACCACCAGGCTTCTCGGTCCTTAGGCAAGCTTTGCCCAATTTACTTACGTAACATCCTTCGTTTGTGGTCAAACTCACGGTCAGCCGGAGTAGACCGACGGGCTTCAATGAGTTGTAAGGAACCAAATGAAACCCAGTGCTTATAAGCGGGACGTTTCGCAAACCCACAACTGACTGTACTCGCCATTTTCATGGCATCATGCAATTGCAACCAATGCTCATCTATACTTTTCGGTGGAATGGTAGCTAGCCTAGAAACTAGCTCGGTTCGATACTTGCTAGCAACAGAAGTTGCAACCAGATTGTTAACATCAATCCGTTGGTGGCGGTCACTTCGTTGTCCACTGAAAAGTGAGGTAAAATTGGCGCAGACTAGGGCATGATCCGAGTCTAGATAGGTACTCCAAAAGGAGCGGCAGTCTTGTACACAACCACGCCAGCGGTAGCTGATCACGATGCGATCAATCTGAGTCCAGGCTTGAGATGCAGAGGGAGGACGCCAGGTGGCACATCGGCGATGACTGTGCCGAAAGTTAGTGCTAGCCAGAAACAGGTTGTGGTCTGTGCACAGTTGCAGTAGACGGTCCACGTGTGTTGTGACCTACTTATATTGATATAAGTAGTATATAACGTGCGTTAAAAGAACGTAATGTCC